ATGAGGCTGTCCTCTTTAACCTTAGGGAGCATGGAAGAACCAGCCTTTGATCAGTTTCTTGCCAAAAGACTGTAACTTGTGCAGCTGATAACAGCCACTAACCCCTCTATGTACACGGAGATTGCCATCCTTCCCTGAGGGCCCTAGGAGAAGGTCTTGTTCATTAGCCAATTCACCATGAAATTCTGAAAGCAGTGAACTCACAGAACTAATACATCCCACCAGGAAAATTAGGGTCCAGGTTCTATCTGTCCGTCATCACACCTCCTCCTTTTTTTTGCCATTGCCTGCCATGTGTGCCGCCCAAGGCAGAGACACAGTACGGTGCCAGCCATCAGGGTTGGCGATTCTGTGTCGGAGCCTGGACAGTGTGTGGATTCTTCTGGTGCAGGCCCAGCTGGACAGGGAGGTGGCAGAGCTGAAAATGTGCCCAAAAGTCTCCTTCAAGAAGTGTCAAGGAGGGCTGGGAGCCCTTGGGTGCTGCTCAGGTGGACAGGAGGAGGCAATGCAGTGGAGGAGGTCTGGAGGGGCTGACCTACAGATCGTGTGGGAGGCGGAGAGAGGGCCCTGGCGTGAGGTTCATATTCTGCAAGTTCTTTGCAGGGCCAAGTGGAGGGCCACACCACCTGCATAAGCCTGTGGCCACAGCTTTCCATGCTGGTGGTGTACAGGCCTTCCTCAAGGAGTCTCTGCTGTCCTGACGGTGCCTGGGTCCCAGGGAAGGAATCAGAAGTCAGAGCCTGGAAAAGGTGGACTGTGTAGGGGAGAAGCAGGGGTGAGAGCCAGGCCATGTCCACGAAGGATCAGAGCATGTGAGGTGGGGTGAGGAGGAAATGCTTTAGAGGTGGGCCAGCACACACTGTGGTTGAAGACTAGGCAGATTGGGAGGGGGCCAGGGGAGTTGTGGGAAACAGCAGTGGTCTACTTCCCTGCTGGGCTCCTGTCCCTCATTGATGGCTCATCTCAACCTAACGAGCCGGTCATTTCCCCTGTTCTGACACCGTGGGGTATCAGCCAGCCCCCATCGAGTGTGGACCCCGGCTCCTACCCAGTCCTGGGGAACACGGACGTCTCAGCCCATGCTGTCCCTGTTGGGCTAGCTGTT